CACTTTTTGAGTTAGAATGCGTGAGCTTGACTGTGGGGAAGGAGGAAATGCCCTTCTGGGAATGATGCTGAACGTGAATGAAGTGTGGATGTGTATGAATGGAGAATGAATGAATAAAGGTAGTGCTTCGGAAGTGATGCCGGCCTTACAGCGGCCATTCCGCTTCCGGATCGCTGGATGACAGAGGAGGGTCTGGTTTAGCAGGTAGGCGTTCGGCGTAGACTCGGGGACGAGAGGGCATTTTAAAGTACCTTGGGAACTATCGCCGGGAGTACGAAGAACGAATCCTGCACTAAGGTTAGTCAGGCGGCGTCCTGGACTGAGATGTCTTTTGAAGATTTTAGACCCCCCCCCTCTATAAAGACGAAAAAAAACAACTTACGTAAATTTATTATAAATTCATAATTAAAACTACAACATTGATGGTTTCTACTGTTATTTTATTATAATTTTAACATATTCAATTTTAAATATTGCTGGCTACTGTCATATTTAGACAAAATCCTCAAGTTACATTAATTGCTTTGTTCCGACTTTCATCCTAACATGTCATTATATATATATATATATATATATATATATATATATATATATATATATATATATATATATATATATATATATATATGTTGATAGCAAGTTGCTATCAACAAGTCCTCGTTGATACTTTATCTCAGGACCAACAAACTCCAGTAGAGTCTTGCGTTGCCTTGTTATTTATACCAATTGTAACTCTAACATAATAGCATATAAGATCCAACAATGTAATTTAAGTTCAAATTAAAAACATTTAACTAGTTTTTACCTAAATATTTAGTGGCTCAAAATATGTACACTTAGCATGATACTATAACAAACAAGATATGCTTACTTGCCGTTCTAATTTTAATCGACTTTGCGCATGACGTCATAGCGACACAAATACCAGGGACTTGCGTATCATATTTTAACGATTCATCATATAGCAATGTTGTTCCATTACTGTAATGAACAACTTCGAAACTTAAACTATTAACAGTAAGTATATCTCGATGCCATATCCTGCAATACGAAGTCATAACTAGTTACTTTCTGTGAAAACGTGGTTTTAAAATTAATAAGTAATTTGTAAAATTAATTAAAGAAATATATGAATCTACGATTTGTTTGTGTGTATTACAAACAAAATAAATATTGGTACAAAACATAAATTAAATATAAAAGGCCGGTAAAATGTAAAGAATTTGATCATACAGGAAAAGCGTATCATACGCGAGACTTTATGGATATCATTTAGACATTTATTTTACAATCTTCTTGATTTTTCCCTTGCGGATATTGTAATTATCTTTAATATTTTACATCTAAAAAAAAGTAATTTTACATCTTCGCTACCACTTATTTTACAGTTTCTATTCTATTCTTTTAAGTTTTTTAAATAATTTTTTGTTATTTTTATTGTGTCGTTATTATAATTACGAAAAACATGTTCCAATTGACTACATACTACATTCATCCAAAGTCACTTTTTTTTAAAGACCTATCAAAAATAAAGTATTACTTCGAGTTTTATTAAAATGGACATCAGTATAATGTTATTATCTGAAGAAACATTTATTATTATCTAAAACTGTGTCTAAAAGCAAAATACTTACATGTTTTTTAATACATTTCTTTTCTCCATTCTTCTTTTGCGTCTATTTTCAGGCGATGTTGTCAGGCAATCCCAATAGTTTTTCTATTAAACAATAATAAGTTTCTGTAAAATGTTTTGAGCATGGAGAGCTAAACTTTACGCATTTGTTTGTCCCTATGAAACACAAAAAAACGACACGTCGAAAAAGTTTTACTTTTTTTATTATTATTTTTTAAACAACCCACCACTGCACAATACATTATGGCAAAAAAATAATTAGTCTTCTTTATAAAGTAGCTACAGGTAGTCAAGAGGAAGTTGTGTACGATAAACAAATTAGGTGATATTCACACAGTAAACTGAATGTTTTCACCACAAAATTTCCATAACCATATAATAATACAAAGTCTTTAATACATCAATGAATAAATAAAAATATTATTCACTACGTTACTGAACTACACAGGATAGCAAACTCGATTAACACAGCAACATATTTAACATGAACACTTATGAGCATTTCAGTTGCCGTCATTAAAATTGTCTCGGGCTTACGTCACAAGAACATGCGCGTTGACTTATCTTGTTTTGTTATAGTATCATGTACACTTAGTAAGTATTAACCACATTTCGTATTAACCTTGGACAAAATTTTAAATTTTATGTTTTCTTTAATTAAAGTGGTTAAATATATACTTTTAGGACACACTGATGATGGAATATAGATTCTGAAAACATTTTGTGTTGTAGCCCGATTGGGTGATTTAATTATATACCTTTATAAATGATTTTAAATAATTTTTTTTTTATAGATGGTATACAGCCATCAACGGAAACTTAGTTTCCTTGTGGATTTTATATTTTTATTTTTTAAATCTTTCTGCAGACCGTAAACTATTCTTTACTGTGTGATCTTGATTTTGTTGCTTGTCGTGTTTATTGCGTTTACTAGCGATCTAAGATATATGAATTGTTTGACTTGCTGAATGGTATGAATGTCAATTTGAATTCTCTGTTGGGTATTTCGGGGGTTTTTAGAAACCAACACATATTTGGTTTTTTCCGCGTTTACCACAAGACCTAATTCACTTGCGGTGTCCGCAAGCCTTGTAAAACACCGCACCATGTCTTAACATTAATCTCGTTAACATTACAAATATGCGGAGCCCCTATTGAATAGAACATTACAGTTTCGATGCAGAACCGAACTCATGTGAATTTTATAGTTGTTTCATAGATTTTATTAAACTTAGGTTTGTGGTGTTATTTTTCAGGATTTAACATAGTTTATTTAACGTATGCTGTCATAAGCTTGTCATAGGTCTACATATAATGTATGGTAGTAGATAGTTGACGGCAATTTTCTTTTCAATAATTTGTGTAATGCATAATAGGTGACCTTTCTGCCCCAAATCTAGCTGAATTGTTTAGCTATTTTTATATTAGTTTTTTTTTTCTATATTTTATTAGATTTCCATATATTCTGCTAACCGAGTTTTTCACAGCAATGCCCCTTTACTTGACACATAAGTCATGTCTAGCAGCGCGCAAGATAAATATACATTGCTAACTATTTCAGACTTTAAAACAGATACGTAAAGATAGAGGAGAAATTGAATATATCGCACCCTCAGTGCAAGACTGCAGTAAGTCAGAATAAGTAAGTTTCTAGATAAAGACGATTTTGTTTATTTTCGTGCTAATACCGGTCAAATAAGGCACAAGTTTAAAAAAAAATTAACATTTATTTATGATTTTGTATGCTTTTTAGACTATATTACATTAACCAAAAAAAGAAATTTAAATAAAATAATTTTAATGCTGAAAAAATAGAAATTTCAAAGTTACAACACTTTTGCACGGAGAAAATTATAAAAAGTGTAGACACATTTTCTGTTAATTGTTGTCTTCTTCTCGTATATCATCTTGGGCCAAAATATTTTTATAAAAACTATGGTGGGCTTCTGGTATCATACCCGAATGGCAATAAATCATCGGGTAAGTAAAGAAAAAATAATCCCCAGCAGAAATTGGGGTTTAGTATGGTATTAAACTTTACATGTAATAGATTCCAAGAAATCAGATAGCTACCTAGAATAAATGAGTACCTAATAAAACGGCTTATCGCTAGCGAAAATTTAATCTTTCTATAACTACACTTTTTCTGATAGCCACAATTCATTGGCTTTGTAACGACAATGTCATAATAGGGTAGAAAAATTATTTGTAAAACTTTCAACATTTTTATTTAAATTTAAAACAAAAGGACTAATAAAAATATGCAAATCAGGCTACCTTGAGTACAGTGATTAACAAAAGGATAGAAATTTACTACGGAAGGTGACATGAAGATTTAATACAATTTGGGATTTAGTTTTTATAGAACAAGTTTTCTGAAAATAGATATTTTTACCCTGTCTGTTGACGTCGACTTTGCTAAGTATCAAGACAATTACTCTACACACACACACACACACACACACACACACACACACACACACACACACACACACACACACACACACACACACACACACACACTACACCTCAAATTGTAAGATTGGCGAATGGATTTAGTGTCCACAGTCATTTAAACACAAACAAACAACATACCCTGTCTGTATCGTTAATACACAAGTTTTAAGATAACTGTTTTTCCTTTCATAAGAAAAAATACTTTTTGGCTGTAAATAATAGGTTTGTTTCAACCGGTCACAAATACGGTTCTTGAATGGTTACGAGTATGCTCAGTAACGAAAAATGTGTTATTGCTCATACTTGTAACCATTCAATAACGATAATGTGACGGGTTGGAATAAACGTAATTAGTCTTAATTCATGTGGTTTTAATTCAATCTAAGAAATAAATGTTCAAATAACATTGCACACACTTTATGGAAAATATAATGTCACACAAAGGATTGGTAAATCGTCAATCTTTGTTTATTGTCTCGGTTGTAAATGGATTACGCAGACACGCTGTATATTAAAATTAAACACCACAGATATAGATATTAAAATAACAAATATCTTACTTTTTTCGTATCTTTCATTGCTTGTTATCTAAACCATTGCAATTTTCCGTGCAAAACTGTTGTAACTCTGTTACACTAGAGTTACAACAGTTTTGCACAGAACTTATGTACAAAAACATAAAATAGTTAAACTTTTGTTGTTGTAATATTTAGCCGGTTAAGCATTTAAAAGTAACTAAAGTTTTAGAGGGGTTAGATATGCATGTTTACAATAGAATTCCATGATTACTTCATTTTCATAAAATTTTGAGTTACTGCAGTCATGCACTGAGGGTACGATATATTGACTAATATTACAATTTTAATAGATCTCTCTTAATGTGATACTAATTTTTCTTATATCTTTGCAGGGATTCACCGTTGCACTCTTCTACTGTTTTCTCAACACAGAAGTTCAAAACACTCTCCGGCATCATTTCGAGAATTGGAAAACAAGGAGATCGTTGGGACCGAGGAGTCTTCGATCTGGAAGTAGAAGCAAAGACTGGTCTCCGAGATCTAGAACTGAAAGTATTAGGTAAGAATATTGTTTTACAATCTTTACATTTTATTGTCGTATTATTTTTTTTTATAAAGAGATTATGTTTATCTTGTTTTATTGTATAAAAGCATTCATTATTCTTTGGAAGATTTTGCAACCAGATAATTAGTTTATTTCTTCTCAATTTTAATACAGCAGTGATGACAGTTATAGTCAGAATAATTAAGAAAGTCACTGTTCGAAGTTAGATCATCGGCTGGTTAGGACAAAAAATATTAATCAAAATTAGAAGAGAGAGAAAAACAATGATCATAGAGAGTAGAAATAAAACAAATATTTTTATTGTTTCACTGTTTTTAGAGAAACTTTTCATAATGGTCCTGAAGACTTAATTTATTTTTAAAAACGCACATGCATATACTCACATATCTCACGTAAAATATAAAGCGCGCCGCGCCTAATATATACCGAATAAGTGAGAATGTCTTGGGAATCCTCTCCATTATATAAAATGTTCAAATTCCTTTTTCAGTAATTGCCGAGACGGCTATTATTCAAAAGAATTGAGACCGGAAATGGAACGAAGAAAGGTCTTTCCCTATGCAAACGGAATTTTCGTTTTTGCTTTTGAAGCGTTTTGTCTACACCGATGTATAGTCTGGTCGAGAACAAGGAAAAACCAATACAATCGAATTTTTTGCTGAGAAGTTATAATTATATTGAAAATCTACACTATACTCGCTCCTTTAATTGTTTTTTTCTTGCACTGTCATTAAATATTTGTACGAATTAAATTTTAAATCAAAAAGTATAAGTAAAATATACAGAAGACAGTTAAGATTTAATTTCAAGTATGGTGTTTCTATTACTTGCTTATACATATTGCCTCTTAGCAAGATTCATCAGAGCGACTAGTGTAGAAGCCCAGGATTAGATCGTTTGCCTTGATTTTCATTCTCTACTATACATAAATACGTATTCTTTTTATGTACAGTGGAGATGACAAACTGGGCAAGAAAGAAGTGGGGTTTTATATAAATAAAAAACTCACACACTATAACAAATTTCAATTCAATAGACAAGATGATCGCCACATGCAGGCTAAAATGGAAAAACACATCATAGCATAAAAAACTTCCTTATAACTATCGAATATTTAATGTATAAAAATGTATTTGATACGCCCCTGGCTGATGTGTATAAAAATTTCTTGTTTGTTTGTTTACCCATGTGTTATGCGAAACATCCAAGAAAAATATTTACCGTGTAGATAACATTTTTGCGTTTTAATTAAATAAATTTCTAAAATTTTCCCAGCACTCTTAAGGATCATAATCGAATAAAAAGGGTCATTAAAAAGAGTTCTGATTGGCTAGCAGCGAAAATTGGACAGGGGGTTGAGAAAAATAATGGTCTAATGCTAATAAATTAAGACGATTTTAAGTTTAAGTTGGAAATTTGGATTCAGAAAAAAAAAACTTTCGACGTGTAGTTCTTGAAAGCCGGCAATTTTTTGAGTTGAGAGGTGAATTTGAGCTCAAGATGCTATTTTTCAGTCTTTGTTGAGCTATTTAATTACCAATTTGTTGTACTGTGTCCTATGTCAGGAGATTCTAAAGCAGCGCTTTCCAACATTTTTGAGACCATTGAGACCAACCATTGAGAGGCTCAATGGTTTTAAGCAGGAGTTGAGGGGCCGAGTTTTGAAGAGTTCATTTTGTCATCCAGAATAATTCAAATCCTGATTTCTGGGGAGTGTTTTACCTCCCCAATATTGTCTATTTTGTGTTCCCATGGGTCACCCCAGCCGATTTTGCAGTTTGTATGGGCAGTGTTTTTGATTCATATCCAATCCCAAAAAGGTTTTGAGTTTTTTTTTCAGAGTGACACAAGGTACTTTTCTTAAAATTTTTCAAAGTAAAATAAAATTTTTTTTCGTTAATAAAAAGATTTGCTTTCATGACAAGGTAAAAAATTATAAATAAACAAAATTATAAGTTTTATGGATTAGCTCATTGTCATATTCTTTTAAATAAAGTTAAATTTAATATTTAATTATTATTTAAAACAGGTTTGATGTTTCATTTCGACATATGACAGTAAGTCAGTCCTTTTCTGTGATTTGGTAGATAACCATAATTTTAAATTCTGTTTAAATTAAAGGTTAATTTCAATGTAAGTAATGGTGATCAAAATTAGGATAATTTGACTTATAATAATCGTTTAAATAGCTACAAATAGCACCACTTTAAGGTTTGTTGCTAAATTGTGTTAATATTATTTGTAATAACTGCTGACGTGAAATAATAATAAATATGAATTGTTTCTCTTTAAATCAGGAGTTTAAAATTATTTCCTGAAAAATATTTAAACCTTTTAAATTTTTTTAGGAAAGAAAAGTCGTTCTTTCTATCCTGAAAAAGGATTCTTTTAAGTGGCGTCCAATGTAAATAGTTTAAAAAACCTTCTTGTGTTTGTTGCCCAGGAAATATCTTTAAGTACTTTGTGGTTCCATCTTCCAGTCATTCCGTAATTCATTTACTTACGACCCCAGCTTTCGAACCAAAACAAAAGTGGCCGTTCGCAACGTTTCGGTTTGTTTACTTACCCTATCTCCAGCCCAGTTATTTCTTAGTCCCCACTTTCAACCCCCTATAAGCAATTATATATTGTTGCAAGTGATACCCAATGTGGTAGGCAAATTAAATCGTTACAAAATTATGAAATATATATGCTCCAACTAAAACATCCGATTCAAAAGAAAAAGATGAATTCTATGAAATAAAAACAAAGCAGGCGAGAAAGTATCAACAAAAGGCATGCTAATAACACTATAAAAAGCAAACGGGGAAAGAGAATACTTGAAGACATAGTCGGAAAAAGAAAAGAACTCTACAAGAAACAACAAATGACAATGGCAACTGAATCTGTCAACTCGCAGCAACACGAAATATGACTTTTCTATCGACAAAATTTGAGCATTTAAGAAAACATAAGGTAACCTGGAGATATCCATCTGGTAGTAAAATTTAAAATGACCACGTCCTAGCAACCAAGGAGGAGCAGAAGATGACACGGACCACTTTCTGGTAATAATAAAAATATGCGCGCTCAAATGTAAAGATATCTAACTTAAACAAACTCGAATAAATGGAACCTAGAAGCATTGGAAGAGACTGAAATAAGAGAAAAATTTTAACAAATCATAAATGAAAATATCTTTAACCTGATGAGTCAACCCAAAAATATAAAGATGATGGCAAGAAATAAAAAGCAAAAAAAATGAAACTAGAAATAAAGTAAAATAAAAAAACAATAAAAATAAATTAAAACTGGTAAGATCAAAACTGTGATACGGCAAAACAGAGAGAATGCTAAAAACAGGAAAAAATAAAAATTAGCGAGAAACAAAGCCAATGCAACGAATAAAAGAACTCAGAAAGAATAAAAGAGAATGACTGATTAAATGAAAAGCTAGAGGATAATGAAATAGACAAAAAAACCTATAAAATAAAACAATTTTACAAAGAAACTAGCAACACAAAATTAGGCCCAGCAATAAAACAAAAGTACTAAAAAACCAAACAGAACAAAGCGTATTTAAAGATAAACATATCAGCAAAATATGGTAAGAATATTACGAAAAATGCTATTTACTTTGGCACTGCAATAAAGAAGTAAGACCAATAGTACAAGATAATAACAAAAAAAAATTCCCCACATAAGGAGAAGTACAAAAAGAAATTAAAAATCTCCGAAACAGAAAAGCAGCATGAGTAGATCAAATAACAGTGAAAATAATAAAATACGTAGAAAGAAAGATACATAAAGAAATAAACAAGCTAATGCAACAAATATGGGCATAAAACACACTACCAGATAATTGGAACAGAAGTGTTATAGTACCTGTTGATAAAAAAGGAGATTGGAAGAAGTACGAGAATTACAGAGAAATAACCCTATCAAATACCACATACAAAATTCTAGTAAACACACTAAACATGAGACTTACTGCGCTGAACGAATATTAGGAGAATAACCGAACGAAGTCAGATTGGGGAGATCGACAGTTAACTCCTTACATACAGTAGAGCAAATTATTCAAAAATCTAGAGGCTACAACATAGAAATGCACGTAATATTCATAAATTTCAGGAGCGCTTTTCAATAGATGCATTGTATTTTAGTCTTCAGAAAACCGTTAAAAAGTCTTCGAAAAAGTGAAGAACAGTAATAAAAAATGTGCTGCTAGAACGACATACAAATTATAATGTTTTCACTAATAGTGCACACTTATCCAATGATAGCATATCTGCAGCTCCGTCTTACACTCAGAAAGCTGAGGAACCACATTAACAAGTGCTGCTGGAGTGGCACGACATCTCACGCTTTCACGCATGCCGAATTCATATCTGACCTCAACAAGACATTATCATTTAATTTTTAAAAAATGCTAAAACATTATTTAAAAGATGAAGAACCTCCGCAATGACACTGATGCATCGACTGCATTTCCGTATATCCGAGCTTCCTCCTTCATCTTACTTCAAAAATGAAAGTCAAAAACAGCTGTTGTCGTCGCTGTATGTGGTAACCATGTTTTCTAAAAAAGTTTTTGATGTGAATTATACATATATATATATATATATATATATATATATATATATATATATATATATATATATATATATATATATATATATATAAGGTTTGGACCCAAGATCTGTGGCCTAGAGAGCCCGATCTTTGTTTTTTAATATGTTGTTTGTCCACAATTTTCCTTCTATGAAGTATTTATTACCTAATTGACGTAAGGTTTTTCTGTCATTGTATTTTATAAAAAAAATTACTTAACTTAACGTTATTTTAGGATAGCTCTGATGATGACATTTATTATGTCGAAAGTATACTCAGCTTAATTAATAAATTATTTTACACACTATCAATTTTATTGAAAACATACAAAACCTGCTTACAAGTTAGACCTATTTAGAAGTGCGTACAAGTTTTACGGTCTTTTTCAAATTAAAAAATGT